AAAATGGCTCAGTCCATGTTAAAATATATTTTAAAAAATTTACAAAACTAAACAGCCTACGTCATTTTTACAGTCTTTATTTTACAGTTAAAATAAACGTTTATCAAATAAAGTTTAATGTTACAACTAATCGTGGATCCCTTTAAAAATACACATTGATCTGGCATTTTTAACTTCAAAAGTAACAGTAACACATCAATAATGTTTAATCAAAATAAATCCGAACAAGTCAGAAGAGCTAACAGCACAGGCTTTTGTGGATCTACATTCGAAGTTGAAACGGTTCTTACTGATCTCATATAATCAATAAGAGATGYATTTTGTGTTCATAATACAAAACAAATCAGCATCCTTTTTGGGTGAGTCATAAGTTTAAGTTGTTTACACTCAGCAGCAGCTCCATTGTWCTGACTTCCTTTGTTTTAGCTGCAATGTCTCCATAAAAAGCAGGGAGGTCATAAACTTTAATAYTTTCTCAGTTTTTTAAAACAATTAAACTGCTACAACAAACATCAGATATGTGTTGATCGTCGGTCAACACCATCKTCATTAAACCACAAAAGGTCAGCGTCGCTTCAGCAGAATTACAACGTGCAGCTTCTGTGAAGGGAGTGCCTGCTGGAGACGGAGGATTTACTTTGGTTTGAGCTGATTATGAAAGACGAAATGCTTCAGTGCTCAGTKTGAGTGCTGACTCTGAGAGGCTGGACTAAAGTTTCCAAGAAATTAAAAAGAGTTCGAAACTGGCTGAACAGCTTTGAGGGCTGCATTTCAGTGCCTGTTTTCAGTCAACACTCTACTTCCACGTTGTCGCACAGAACAAAACTATTTAATAAATTCATGATATATCGAGCAACAAGAACGTCTGTGAGCTGCAGATTTGGAAAACAAATTTTCAGACATTATCAGTTCCTATTCAAATACCTGAGGATTTGATCTGTTGCAAAAACAGACCAGGGGTTTAAAGTTACAGTAATCTACATGCCGTGTTACACAAATAATACAATAAGGCAGTTGTGAAAGACAGAAATGGCAACAAACCCACCTGGATCCGCCTGTTTCCCAGTATCCTGTTTGTTTGGTTTTTGTATTCATTTTTCCAAGTAAGYATGAATAAATAACTCCACAAGAAAGTTAATATTACTGTCAGCCTAAGAGAATTAAGTTTTTTTTTCTCATCCTAATTCTGTAAATGAACTCAGCAGCAAAAAGTACCGGTAATTTCTAACCTCAGTACACATTTACAAGTTAAATTATCCAGGTGCAAATAAAAAAACACCTTTTACAAACAACTCAAAGTCAATACAGTTTGTTTTAAGTAAAACATTCAAACTTATATTTCATAATTAATAACTTTAGAAGTTTAACAATTGATTTACTTTTTGTAATTTATGACTTTTTAAAATCAAAACAGAATCTACATGTTG